TTGAAATGGTCTAAGAATCAAAGGGTAGCAGCTTTTTCTCGGTGATTACTTACAGCCATCCTCTGAGGTGAAGTGACATGCTCGTTTCACAGGGAGAAAACTAAGGGACAGTTGGCATGCTCAAGGATTCTGAGAGCCCGTAGGTATTGGAGCCACGGTTCAGTCCTAGGTCCTGTTGGCCAAAGCCCCTAGAGAATAAATATCTCATTGCAGTGAAGGAGGTAAGGTAGCACACTTACCAAACTGTGCTGAGAGTATGCCAATTGATTGGAAAAGTTTACTTCAAGGAAAAGATGGATGAGAAAGAATATATTCTTGTACATGAAGTAGTTAAGGCTCAGATTTAGGAGAGGAAGGATGGAGCAAAATAATCCCCATTATATTTATTTTCATTTACCTATGGAGCTTTTAGGAAAACGGGACTACATTAAGACCTGTTTTAGAGGTAAATTAGAAATGTACTGCCTACTATTGCTGCCCAAATACCATAGTCAGGACCAGACATTAGTTAGATCCTGCCACAATAACGCATTCTCCCTGAATGGAAACAGAGGTCCCAGGGGAGAAAGTCTCATGAGAGCCGTGGCTTCTTCATTTCCCCCATCTCATCGCTGTGTTCAGGCCTGTAGGGTATGAGAGGCTGGCCTAGACCCTTCACAAGCATTAGGTAGCAACCCATTATAAGCTACCAAGACTTTCCCAGCCCAGTGCATGTCAGCCAGGAAGCCAGCGTATGCCGGGATACAATGGGGAGGCTTATGACATCTGACACATTTTTCCAGAGTGAAGTGCCTGGCTCCACGCCAAACTCCTGGAAGTGGACTGTGGAACACGTTGTCTATAAAGCCTTCCGCTCACACCTCCTGCCTCCTAAGCATTTCACAGAAGATGGAAATATCCTGCAGCTTGCCAACCTGCCCGATCTATACAAAGTCTTTGAGAGGTGTTAAATATGGTCACTTATGGACTCTGGGTGTGTTCTTCCTTTGTATTCTGACGTGGTAGGTCTTAAGGTTAAAGACTCACATTTGCCTTCTAACTAGTAGCACTCCGTATGCATGGGGATCAACTATAAATAAATTGTCAGATATGTCCTAACATGATTTCTTATTTCATTACACTTGAAAGCTTTTCTAGATTGATTTCGCCTAGTATATACCTGATAGTGTTAAAGAATCCCAAAAGTAATTTGAAAGCCCCCTGGACATCTGATAAGAATTCTAAAGAGGCCTTGAAGATTTCATAGATCATGTTCTGATTTGATTCTTTCTAATATTAGGTGATAGATATTGTTAGTTCAGGTGCTTTTTTAAAAGAGGTCCCTGAACATCGAAGACTCTAATGACACTGCCTATGGAGAAAGCTGAATTGATAATCTATTGGTACCTTCAGTAACCAAAGAATAATTGATTCTTAATTTAAAAAAGACTTGAGAGAAGAACATAGCCCTTACCCAGTCTACACCCAGTATGAGTTTCTAAGGCAGCGCGCTTGGTCAATAGCTATGACTGCCACCAGCTTAAGGTAACTGAAGTTCTAGGTCTTATTTGAAGGATGAGATATAAATACACACTTAGACTCTAAGTGCCATTAAAATAAGCTACTTTAATATTAACCTGCATTAATAGGAATGTGCACAGGGAGGAAGAATGCCTATATTTTTAAGGTAAAATCCAGATTATAGGACTCAATGAAGAAAGTTCTGTTAGAGCAAAAAACTATCTTACGAAGAAGTGGAGCCATTCCACGTGGAAAAGACAGACGACAGACAGAGAAGGGGCAAGATCCAGTTTAACACTCAGAACTTCCACAAAGCAGGCAAGGGCACCTCAGAAGTGAGATTCCACGAGCCTGGGAGGGACACAGGCTGAGTGACCATGGTGAAAAGAAGAGGGGTCTCAAGGCGCAAGAGCTGGACCACACTGCCTGCTGGTTCCAGCTGTGGGATTCTAGGGCAAACCTGCATTTCAGAACATGCCTCCCCATTAGGAAATCATCTTAGTTCAGGAGAGCAGTTTCCATATTTTAAAAACAAAGGGCTAACTACTCTAAGCAACAGAATCACTGACTCATTTGAGTTCCCTTTATTATCTAGTTTCAGGTCTAACTTGATTCTCATTGTGGCCTTGATTCATTAGACTTTCCCCAGTATTTTTTCTGTGTAAACACACTGACGATACAATAATATTTCCATAAAACCACCTTGATTCTGAGAGCAAAAGAGAATCACAAATCCTACAAAATGGCTACACTCAGTGACAGAAACCTCTGGGGACCTTAAGATGAAACTGAAGTTTTTAAAAGACAAAGTCCTATATTCCAGAGCTTTCCCTAGGAGGGAGAGAAAAGAAGAGGGGCAAGATCAGGCAGGTGGCCATGATCTCCTTTAAAGGCTCCTCTAACAAAATGAATGTGTCAGTAGCCAATTGTGGTCAGCAAACGGGTGTGTTTAATAGAATCTCCAGGTAGATGTCCCACCTGCCTGTCCTGCCCCCCCCC